ACCACGGGAAAGCAAGAAACAGTTCTTCGGCTCGACGATTCCTTCCTCTCCTTAGGAGGTTCAACAATAGGCGGAAACGCGTCTGGTTTTACAAAAGGAGCATCGTATTCTCTTTTTTGAAGGAGAAAAGATCGAAAAGGAGAAGAAGAACGACTATTCTCTATGTCTCTAGAAGAGTATAGTATGCTTGTGTGTTTGTCGATGTCCGAAGGTGCCTGATAAAGAATCGAGGCGAAATCAAAAGGTTCGTGGTAAGGGAGCCTTATCTCTCTCTCTCTCTCTCTCTCTCTCTCTTTCTCTTTCTCTCTTTCTCTCTTTTTTTCTCTCTCTCCTTCTCAAATCCTCGCAGATGGTGTATGGAAGAAGCGCAACGGCTCGTGATAGATCTTAGCGGATAGTTACGGTACTTGATTAATGTCAATGTGTGCGCACGGACACGTGCAGATGGCTTCCACACGGCAACACAATTGAATTATTCAACTGCAACATCGTTCTCAGGATACACTGACACGAAACCGCGAAAGAGATCGTCGTCGTAATTCTCTAAGTTGTCCTCGAGACGTTGATTTAGAGACGTTGAGAGAGATAGATAGATAGAGAAAGAGAAAGAGAGAGAGAGAGAGAGAGAGAAAGAGAGAGAAAGAAGAAGAGAAAAAGAAAGAAGACATTTTCGTTCAATGAAATATTTATAAAACGTTGATAAAAACGAAAACTAACGGAAAATAAAATGAAAAAAAAAAATGAAAAAGAAAAAAGAATATTACGAGAGAGAAAGAGAGAGAGAGAGAGAGAGAGAGAGAGAGAGAGAGAGAGAGAAGAGAAAGAGATAAACTTTCTGTGTGTATAACGTAATAATAATAAACTACAACTACGATAATATCATACTTTCCGATCCGCTTTGCTTTTATCTGGGAAAATTCATTTCAGTTATGAATATAGAATGTAATGCGATCGTATGCAACAATTCGACGAAATTCGCATGCATTATCGAAATGATTTCGAATAATCGTCGTCGATTTGAAATCATTAGAATTACATGGTGGCATTTAAATCAGATATAAAATATACAAAAAGCATCTCTGTATAAGCCGTACGAAACGCACGATTCTCCTCACCCTCTCTCTTTTCTCTCTCTCTCTCTCTCTCTCTCTCTCTCTCTCTCTCTTACACATACACTATCTCTACCAGCCTACGTAATTATTCGTTTAAATCAACATCGAAGCGAAATGTTTGAAAAGTACCGAACGAGGTGCGCGTGTACATTTCAGATACCTACGTTATAATTGAATTTACAGGACACTGTGGGGTTGTGTGTATGTGTACCGTATAATGACTTCCTATTTGACTATGATTACGTGTTTGCGCGCGTTTCATACTCGAAGAGTGTAGATACGTAGGTATGTATACACAATGGAGAATATTCGATGCGTACACGAGTTTTCTTCGTTTCGTTCGTTTGTACACTAGTCGCCCCGAGATTTGTACGTCTCTCGTTTATGCACGCACACACACACACACACACAAACACATATATATATATAAAAATATATATATATATGTATGTATTCACAAACGAGAGAAGGTTTCACGTTGCTTTCTCCATGTATTAATCTGTGTATTTCTCTGTATACGCGACCCGTATTACAATCCCGTCGAAAAAAGCCTGCGGCGCGAAACGTCAGTATCTCGGAATGAACGATGTTGCTCGATTACCATAATAATCCCTCTGTATCGCTGTATCAACTCACGTATTTCCAACCGGAAAGATACGCGAGAGCGAATGCACCGATGCAATGTGGCGGTGTTTCGAAATGCCACAAAACTTCTTTCCACCTTATATACGTACGTATTTCACTCTATATACATATATATATATATATATATATATATATATATACATATCTATATATAACGTCTTCTCTCTAACACTTTTATTTTCATCTCCTATCTCTCCTCTCGTCTTCCTTCTCGTTTTATCTCATTTCTTCTTCTTCTTCTTCTTCTTCTTCTTCGTCTTCTTCGTCTTCTTCGTCCTCTTCGTCTTCTTATTCTTCTTCTTATTCTTATTCTTCTTCTATCTTCGAGACTCGACTGGCAGTCTTATTGTTCGCCAAGCGAGATGGCAAGTTTGCATTGCAGATTTTATGCCGATACAATCTTTCGGCTTTGTCAGAAGAGACTTTACCGTCGAAAGCTTTTCGTTCGCGTGAGATTCTTCACGAGAGAAAGAGAAAGAGAGAGAGAGAGAGAGATAAAGAGAGAAGGAGAGAAAGAGATAGATATTGAAATAACTCAGTTCAATCGATCCAAATCGATTTTTATTTTCCTCGGGAAATTTATATTCTCTTCTACATAATCCGTTCAATAAATCGTAGAAGATCGTAGAAGCGAATCGAAGTATAACATTTAACCGGTTTTATTTAACGATCCATGTCAGTAAAAAGTCTATAACGAATTGAGATAGGTAGATATAGAGTAAAAGAAAGAAAGAGATAGAGAGGTATAGATAGACATATAGAAAAAGAAAGAGTGGGAGTAAAGTGGAAAACGAGCTAGCAAGTAACGTGTTCTACATGGTTAACACTAATACAGATATGCAAATTATTATTAATTAACAGTAGGCCGATCGTTACGCTGTCAACAACAGAAGAGAAACTGAATCGGTGTGCGTCTATGATTCACCGAGATCGTCAGTGGATGATAAAGTTTAATTAGGCAACGTATTAACGCACAGTTGGTAAACCATAGAACGTTAAGCAGTAGCGGACAGAGTGAGTGGTTAGCAAGCAGGTGCATGGATAATTATACGTTTTCCTCTTATATCGTCGTCGCATGCTACTGGAATAATTAAGCAAAACCGATGAGCATTCTCTCTCTCTCTCTCTCTCTCTCTCTCTCTCTCTCAATCTCTCATATTTTCAAGTACACCTATCTTCTACCTACAAATACATAAACGTATAAAGATACACATACAATACACTTATGTATGCCTGACAAACCCGGTAATTTAGTGAATTTTTAATTTATGCATCGTAAGTATCATCCGCATTGAAATCGACGTTGTTATACGTCTTCACGAACTGGATCGTCCAATTTCTTTTCGCCGGCCCTGTAATAACTTTGCTACTCCGCCCGTGACGATACTTTTCCCCCCCTCCCCCCCCCCCCCCTATCCTCTCAGGTAGCACCTACGATAAAGAGAAAGAAAGAGACAGACACACACGCAGAGGGGGAAAAGAGAGAGAGAGATCTTCCGCGTCCCAAGAATTTTATCGTAAATTGTTACGGCAAGAAACGACGCTTTCTTTTTATTAACCTTCGTGACTCGAATACATACATACATACATACATACATACATAAATATATAGCGAGAGTTAAATGAATGGCAAAGAAATTTTCCATGATTCTTCTCGACGACATCGACATTAAATTATTTCCAAAATTGATTATCGTCATAATTAACTAATTCTTCCTGATAGCTAATATGGCATTGATAAGAGAAACTAAGAGAGATTTCTAAATTCTTTAACGATCATAAATGATCCAATAGAAAATTTTTGACAAAAAAGAAAAAATTAAAAAAAAAAAAAAAAAAAAAAAAAGAGAGAGAGAGAGAGAGAGAAAGAAAAAAAAACTACGTTTACTATAAAACTTCAATTTCATTATTTCATTACGATATAATATTGTATTCGTTCTTAAGGATTATAAACATATATATTTCCATCGATATCGTTGTCCTTGATATCCGTAAAGTTTCTTGTCGAAAATATCGGTACGATTTTGAATTAACAGACATCAATAATTCAACCATAAGATAGTTTACGTTGACAGTATTATACCGTATTACATTGAATTATTACCAACAGCTATTGAGAAAAGGTAGGAATAAAAAGTCGTTAAGAGATAACAAGAGAACGTTTGATCTATTACACCGGCGCTACTTCTTTCTTGCTTGGGTTCGCCGACTTTCGACCGACGATATTTCTTGCCGATAGTTACGAGTGGTTACGCGTACTGAACGATTACGGTGCATGATAAACAAATAAACGAAGTCGAACTCCGACAGCCAAGGGGGATTAAGCGTGACCGTGCCAGTTTCGTTCAAGTGTTTCAAACTCGAAATCTTATGCTTTGTAAAGTGGAAAGAAAGAAAATCCCGATAAGATCTTATTACGATTATTTATCTATCTATAATGTGTATATATGTATCTGTGTGTATGTGTATATATATATATATATAGTAACACCAATGAGAAGGAAAGAACAAAAAAGAAAAAAAAAGGAAAAAAAAAAGAAAAAGAAAGAAGTAAATAAATTCTCAAATAGGATAGATTTCATTTTCTGATTTAATATGAGAAATATATATATATATATACATATATATATGTGTGTGTGTGTGTGTGTGTGTGTGTGTGTGTGTGTGTGTGCGGTATCTTGATATAATAATTTATTTAAAAGAGTCAACATTCGTGACTTAAAATATCAGGACAATGATAGATGGAGTTATCACGAATTGTCTAATAAATTCTCGCGTGGGAACGTATACGATTTCTCGTAGAAACGTTCGTGTAAATGCGAAAAAGATAAAACGTAATATTCGAGCAAGGACAAACACGACACGACACGATACGACACGAAACGAAACGAAATGACATGACACGACATGATGGGACGAGACGAGACGGGACGGGACGTAACATAGACGATTTGCTCGTTACTGGATCACGCGTTTTAAACGTGACGCCGAAAATGACGAAATCCTATATAAATATGTAGATACGATGCCGGGACAATGAACTTATCCCTACGATACCCCTAATTCCCGTGTGTTTGCGTTTTAGACGTTTATTAGTTCGACATTATCGTTCAAATGTCATAAAGTGTGCGCAAACGAACGTATTAATCATTATTTGAATACCTTTAAAATAGAAAAAAAAAAAAAATAAAAAAAAAAAAGAAAGAAAAAGAAGAACAAATTTTTTGATAACGTTTCACTTACCTTGGGGTCAAAGTTGAAGACCTGTTCAGGTCTGAGAGGACATTCGAGACCACATTTACAGGTTCCCGCTGTCGTCAGGTACTCCTTCAGTTGATCCAACGAGCCTAGAGCCGTACTGCTAGGACTGAAATAAATCAAATCAAATCAAATAATAAGTTATTATAATAATACGATAATCTTCTTAAATACTCTTCCTCTCTCTTTCTCTCTCTCTTTTTCTCTTTAAATGAAGAAAAGAAAGAAAAAGAGAAGAAATCTCGCGGAAGAGATATGTTTCAATTTTCATGTCTTCGAGTATTTATTAAAAAAAAAAAAAAAAAAAAAAAAAAAGTAAATATACTTTTTTAATCGATCATTACAATAAGGATAAAGAAAATGATTTGTTTATTAAATAAAAGATATAACACGTATTTACGTTCCTGAGGGATTCATCTTAAGTTCTTCTAAGTCCAATGGTTTGGACTTTAACGTTTATTGGCATTCGAACGTACGTACGTACGTTCAAAGCCAACTAGAGATGATAGAAAAGAAGATGAGAAAGACATAGTGTTAAGGGTGGAAGAAAGGGCTCCAATACCGACACCAGTAACGTTCACTCTCGAAGATGGTTTTAGGTATGGGAGTTAGGAGAGAAAGGAGACAAGCCGCAGCGATGTGAAACGAGCGAGGCTTCTTGCTTGTATATTGATTACCCAATGGAGAGACAGAGAGACTTTGTTTCAAGGTACTTTGCAGCTTCCTAAACTAATAACCTCGGGCGTTTCATCCAGGGCATTATAACCCCCTGAGACTACCCCTCTTCTTCGTGTCTCGACCCTCACTACTGTACCGTTTCTCTCTCTCTCTCTCTCTCTCTCTCTCTCTCTCTCTCTCTCTCTCTCTCTCTCTCTATCTATCTCTCTTCCCCTTTTATCTTTCAGTCACGCTGTCTCACCTCTCCTTTCCTCCCTTATCGCTTTATATCTTTCTCTGTATTCCTATATCTGTCTTTCTCTTTTCTGTGTACTATAGTATCCCATTCTCCAAAAGGATTCCTCGAGGCAATTATTTCTCCCAACAAGACAAATTTCTAGGCGCCCACCTTGTTACTAATTTGTGCCGTATTCGATTTGTTCCACTCATATATAAATATGTGTGTGTGTGTGTGTGTATTTGTATGTGTATTTGTACCCTTACATCAGTGCGAAAACGAGACACGAGTTGTGAATTTCGTGCCTCCAGTTTCCTCGCGAATTATTAAGGCGAGACGCTGATATCGCCGTCCGCCGCCACCGACTCTACCTCCACCTCTTCCTCCTCCTCCTCCTCCTCCTCCTCCTCCTCCTCCTCCTATTCCTCCTTCACTATAACGATAAGAGGATTTAATTATGCGCGTTTTCAACGAATCTACCCATTCTATGGAAGGTAATGTACTCTCTATCGGAATAACCGTTTGGAAGTTTCACCGAGAGGAGTTCGAGTTTGCTCTTCTACTTCATTCTCGATTATACATTTCCATTGTACGTACATATTTACCTGCCGAATAAATCAATTGTTTCCGACTCATTTTGTATGCGTACGCGCTAACTAATACCTCGCAAAATTCAAAATTCGCTTTACGTGTTACGTTATACCTAGATATATTTATGTGAAAGAAAGAAAAAAAAAAAAAAAAAAAAAGAGAAAAGAAAGAAGTAGAAAAATTCCATGAAAAGTAAGAGTTTATTCCTTAATATAATCCAACAGATTTAAAAGCGAAAAATTTTCAAGAGCGTATACTTAATATATACGAGTATATATATATATATATATATATATATATATATATACACATGTATACACATGGCAAGATAGAAAATCCCTCTGAAAGCTTATGAAATAGGGAAGAAAAAGAGGGTTACTTTTACAAACGAAAATGTAATAGAAAGATGTTGCTACTGCTGCTGCTGCTGCTGCTACTACTACTACTACTACTACTATCGCCAGTGGTTTATCTCTTATAGATAATGCAATAACATATCTCTTTTTTTTTTTTCGCGAAAGCACTTTTTCGTGGACGCTCGTGTCTACCCGTAAGGATACCACGATAAAATCTAAATGTAAGAGAGCGATTTTGTAAGTAAGAGAGGTCGTCAAGCGTAGTTCCTTCCATTTCCTACAAAACGAGTCGCGTGAAACGAGTAAGAAGGATAGGTAGGTATACGATAAGCTCCATAGGATGAATAATATTCCTCTGAGAAAGGGTTACTTGTCCTACTAAAATAGATCTTATTCCTTGACATAACGAACGTCAGTATTTTGTCTAAGCCATAAGCGCAAGGAACGAAAACGCGTTGAAGAATATAAATGTAGATATGTATAATACAAAGATGAGAGAAAGATATATATATATATATATATATATATATATATATATATATATATATAAAAGTATACGACAACGGCAAATTTAATTTTTCCATTCAATAAGGTATTAGCATTTAAATGAATAAACGAGTTGTGCAAGAGCGATCATTAATAAAAGTCTTAAGTCGTATTTCTATGCTTCGAGTACTTGCACGAAGATCACCGATGATCATTCTCGAGTTCTTATTATCTCAGGATAATAGGAATCGTTAAGATGATTTCTTACGATTTCTGCAATAAGATTGATCTTTCAAATGAAGAAATAAAGGAACGATTATCGGTCTCGAATAATTTTACTTTCTTCTTTTTTTCTCTCTCTCTCTCTCTCTCTCTCTCTTTTTCTTTATTTCTTTTTTCTTTTTTTTTCTGTTACAAATAATTTCTACTTATCAAATTGTAATGGTATATAATCGATCGTAATGTATGCCACCGCAATCATTGTTTACAATCTCTTACTACTTGTTATCGTTAAATCTTTTTTACATTCCCATTGAAATATTTAACGTGCTTCCGTTAAGCGAATAACTCGAAGCCGTTCAATCGAACGAAATCGACTATACGCTCTACTCTCGTTTCTGTTTTCCCAGAATTCATATCTCTAGTGTCATGTATATATATATATATATATATATATATATATATATATGTCTGCACGTGTTTGTATGTTCGGCTTATCGAACGATTTAAAATTTGAACGGCCATGCAGAGGAATAGTCGAACGACAAGTATCGAGCGTCGCATCGCGTCAGTTTCGTTTTATGGTTAATCGCTCTTTATCGAAGGCACTCGAGCGCAGTTTCGCAACGTTCTCTCGCTCTCGCTTAGGCTGTCCGTAAATTATAGCTGTCATAAATTTATCCGCGATCGGTAATTATCGGAGTGAGCCATCCGTCGGAACGGGGCGCGAATAACGAGCCAATTCCAATTGGTAGGTCGAATCTATCCGTATACGTATCTATACACACACTTTATCACACGCACAATACGTACACACACACACATATATATATATATATGTCTATAAATATATATATATATATTTATACACTAGCACAAACGATCTACCGACGATACTACGCGTCTCACCGATTCTCGATCCGCGCTTCGATTTATACCGAACCAACCTTCTCTTCTCCATTCTCTTTCTCTCTTTCTCTTGAACGCACACGTTCGATCTTTCACGGTTGCAATCAATTTCGCGTCGCTTCGAAATGCCTCGACTCGCTCGATTATCGCGGCTTTTATCGCGCGTTTATCGCGCATTCATCGCTCTCTCTCTCTCTCTCTCTTTCTCTTTCTCTTTCTTTCCTTCTCTTTTTCTCTCTTTCTCTATCGACTAACGTTTTATACTCCTTATTATTTTTTTCATCAATCCTCACAGCTGAACCTTCTGCCAAGAACACGCAGTCTTTTCAAAGGTAAACCCACATCGAACGAGGACGAAGCGGAAAAACGGTGAATATAATTCTACGATAAATAACTCCCCCTTAACCCCTTACCCTACCTCCTCAACCTTTCTTTTTCGCCGTTCTATCGCCGTATGATGATTTTACTCGCATAGATCATTTCTTCTTTTTTTTTCTTTTTGTTTTTTTTTTTACTTTCTCGTTCTTACTCCACAAGAAACGCAAACAACGAGGACTGCTATGCATCGGCAATCTTCAACTTCTTTAATCGGCACACACTTAGACGATTTATTTTACATAACTACATTAGAACTGCTCGCGACTTAAGCACGACACTTTCGTTTCGCCACGAAATCAATGATCCGAACCGCAAAATCGGCGCGTTCATGTTCGATCAATTTCGGTGTCCATTAAGGATCGAAGAGTGGGGTCTCTCTATTCGTGTCACGATACGATATTATCGGGGGAATAATTTTCGAACCACGAAAAGTGAAACGTTAACGGGCCGCGATCACGAATCGCTCGTTTCCTCTGTGGTGTTTTGCACTTTTGTGCATGCGAGTGAACTGGACGCTGAAAGAGTATAACGAGGGGAACTTGTCTGAGGAAAAAGAAGCCGTGCGAAAGATTCAGAGAGAGAGAGAGAAAGAGAGAGAGAGAGAGAGAGAGAGAGAGAGAGAGAAAGAGAGAGAGAGAATGAGTGAGTGAGTGAGTGAGTGAGTTAGTAAGAGGGAAGTGAACAAGTCGACTGGAAAGTCAAAGCAACGAAAGAAGGATAAAGGGAAAACCATTTTACAAGTTGAATCAGGCACAGATTGCAGCCATTTACTAACATAAATTGCACGACAGGTAATCGTCTCGTGTGCAGAAGGGAAAGTCTCTATCGTATGTTTGCGAATAAAGAACAGACTTTCTTATAGAAATATATATATATATATATATATATATATATATATATATATATATATATAAAATCCTGTCCGTATCTCTGTTGAATTTTAACGACACTCGAATTAAAATATTTTGATATACATAGAAACCCTTTAATAACTAAAAATTTATATCAAATTAAAATAAAATAATTGTTTTGTTTTTATACTTTTCGATAATTTAGATATTTTAGGATAAATGCAATTGTTAGAATTTGTTAGAACGTATAAATTAGATATACGTGGGTTTAGTACATTAGAAGGTAAAAGAATAAGAAACAGAAATAGTCATGGTAATAATAATAATAATAATAATAATAATAATAATAAAGAAAAAGAAAAGAAAAGAAAGAAAAAGAGAAAAAAAAGAACATAGAAAAAAAAAGAAGGAAAAAGGAAAATAA